CATTGCGGAATCACAGCCTTTTACAGTATCAATCCGCAAATTTTATTTACAGTTTTCGGTAAATGTATGTAAATTACGGTAATTCAGCAGTTTTGATTGCGGAAAATTGGTAAAACAATATTTTTTACAAAGCATTCGGTAAAAATTACATTTTACCGAACAAATCCAGCAAAAATAGTACCGAACAAGATTTAAGAAATTTGGTGTGTAGCTCCAGTACTTGGCTCTTGTTGGTTTTACAGCTAATTAAAAGATATAATGGATATATTTGGCTCTGAGCGTCTGTATTTTAGCAGAGCAACATGTTATGAGTTAAAAGACAACATTTCAGTTCATAATTCCTCAATTCAGTAGCTTGAAATTGACATCCAAATATTGCTTGTCTAATTGGGTCGCTTTTTTAGCCTTACAACTATAAATCAGATAATCTGTTTCGCGATATTTCCACCAAAATATGCATACTGTTGATGACTTTTAAGCTTTAACATGATTTAAAAAGAGTAGTTATAATCACAAAATACGAAATAATAAAATATTCCGCATTTTTTGTTCTCATTTTGAAGCGCGGCCAATAACTGGTGCATCTAATCATAGGGTGAGCTTATTGGCACTAATATTGAGTAGTAGTGGTTTTAACAGAGCCTCCTTGTTTTGTGTTGCCACACTTTCGTTTCTCCAAACTTATCCACAAAAGCTTCAAGCATACAGAATGACTCAATGGAGAAGTCAAGGACTCATGATCTAATTGATCGTATCTAAAAAGGAAAGCATTTCTCGTGTCGCCGATGGAATGAAGATCAGGCTTGTCGTGATGATGCTTCGCCCTACACCTTTATTTTGGATTTCGCTGAGAAGTGCATGCCGCTGAGAGTCAACGATCTGCACTGGTAATCACAACAAGACTCCAAAATTAAGTGCACAGTTCACTCTGCGTACCCTGACACGCTATTCGATGAAGATTGGCCGAATTGAAGATGTTACCCCAATCCCTTCGGATTCAACCCACCGGAATGGAGGTCACCGCGGTCGTCGTCTGTAAGGCATACCGAAGGTCTTTTAACAGATATTGTGTTGAGTTTCATGTTTCTCCATCTGAAATCTCGGACACAACCAACGACAGCTGCTACTACGAACAGGGAAAGATTCTATGTGTGCGAAAACATTTATAGATCATTATTTAATAAAACCGAACTCAAGGCAAATCAACTTTCTGTTTATTTGTACCAGCTTGTCTATGGAACAAAGTTGTCCAGTGCAAGCCATTAAATTAAATTAAATACACCGATCTGGAGAAAGATTACTGTAATAAGATTAATATTGCTTCTCCTCTCTCTTTTTCTCATCTTCTTTATCTCTTATTATCTCTCTTAATCTCTCAATATCATACTCGCCCTGCATCTTGCACCGCATGAATGAAGATTGTCAAGGGCCAGCCACATTAGAACTGGAAGTGACAGCTAAATATATTGTGTTACTGTTGAATTTACGTCAACGCAACACAAACGGATCTAATGTGGATGGCCCTTTATAGACCAATAGGATGCTGCACGCTGACGTCACGAATGAACGCGATGAACCCGCATTCATCAGTTTGACATTTAGTGGTGGTTTGTTAACCTTTGCTTGTTAGTCGATTCAAGCGGATTTGAGGTTTTAAATAAAAAGAATTAAAGGATATGATATCCGACTATGTTCGTTTGAACAATATTTTCTCCCATTTAATTCCACTTAATTAATTTTGGTATCCATGACAGATACGTATTTCGACTACAATGTGCAGTCTTCATCAGTGTCATTCCCACTAAAGAACTTATCAAAATCTAACCCCCTTAAGTACTCATCCCCTAGGTAAAAAAAGTCAAGATCATAGGTATAAAAATGAAACTACAATGTGTTGAATCGGAACCTACCTAACTAATAAAAACCAAAGATTTAAGTAAGCTAAAGGAGAAAAATCTACAAAACTCTCTAAAAAGGAAAATCCCCAAAGGCTTGGTAGCCATCATAATGAAGTAATGAAATTGGGTTGTTAGCGGAATGCTAAATAAAACAGCAAAAAAGGTTATCTTCCATTTAATTCCACTTAATTAATTTTGGTATCCATGACAGATACGTATTTCGACTACAATGTGCAGTCTTCATCAGTGTCATTCCCACTAAAGAACTTATCAAAATCTAACCCCCTTAAGTACTCATCCCCTAGGTAAAAGATGGAAGATAACCTTTTTTGCTGTTTTATTTAGCATTCCGCTAACAACCCAATTTCATTACTTCATTATGATGGCTACCAAGCCTTTGGGGATTTTCCTTTTTAGAGAGTTTTATAGATTTTTCTCCTTTAGCTTACTTAAATCTTTGGTTTTTATTAGTTAGGTAGGTTCCGATTCAACACATTGTAGTTTCATTTTTATACCTATGATCTTGACTTTTTTTACCTAAGGGATGAGTACTTAAGGGGGTTAGATTTTGATAAGTTCTTTAGTGGGAATGACACTGATGAAGACTGCACATTGTAGTCGAAATACGTATCTGTCATGGATACCAAAATTAATTAAGTGGAATTAAATGGAAGATAACCTTTTTTGCTGTTTTATTTAGCATTCCGCTAACAACCCAATTTCATTACTTCAATATTTTCTCTCCAAAAAATCTTAAAAAAAAACATTTAATAATTTTTTTAATTTTTTTCTAAGTCGATGTAAACAAATGCAGCTCCCTATATGTAAGCGTAAATCTATATGCGCATTCATTGTTATGTCGTACTTATAGATGTAGGTATATGTTTTATTCCCAAGTAACACATAAAACATCTTTTTGAAAAAGAATCAGAACGGCTTGTTGTATAAATGTATTATAGGTGTTGCAGAAAACATCTCACGTTTTATATGAGGTTTATATATGTTTTCTTCATACTTCCTAGATTTCACCGTTTTCCAAAATAGTTTTCTTTTGCTTTTATCTTTAAATGTTATTTACACGTACATCTTACTGTTTTTATGCTACTATAAAACTCTTCGTATTCAAAATCAATCTTAGTTGAATTTATAAAGTTCTTGAAGAGATTCTGTACTTTCCAGATTGACGTAAACATTGACAACGCCATTGAGCCGGTCTCTTCTCGAAGTAATTGACAGTTTTTATGAGGTTTTCGGAGGTTTGATATAAAGAAAGTTGAAAACACTTCTTTATGACATCTCATAAGGATCTGTTCATAAACTACGTAGACAGTTTATTTGGATTCTTGACCCTCCCCCTCCCCCTGCGTAGACAATCGCCCATACAAAAATTTTAAAATTTGTATGGACCGTGGATAATTGTCAAGCCCCCCCCCCCTAAACTGTCTACGTAGATTATGGACAGCCCCTAAATAAATACAACTGAAAATGTGCAGGTTATCTTATAAGAAGTTGAAAATACTTTTATCTAACACTCTGGCAATTGAATGTACGCTCTGCTTCTACCAAAAAATTTTTATGACCTATCGAAGGCGTGTTGAACGAGAATATAATGTTCATGCCATTGGCAAGAACATGATAGATACTAACTATTAAACCCTCATCAAGCGAAGTTGGTCTAGTTAGAAAGTAATAAATTCACCACTCCAAGGACCAGTGTTCGAATCCCATGCTCATTTTTTTCATAGTTTTTTTTTTGCCGCTGGTTCTTATGATGTTTCCAAAACATGTTATATGACCAGTATTTAGTTGTATAAGCTCCGTGTCTTGCGCTTTTTAGGTTGTATAAATGTATTAAATGATGTATATTAAAGTATGATTGATTCTTTACGTAAGTCATTAAAAAGTATTTTCAACTTCTTTATGACAAACCGTGCTGCTTGGGTTTGATTCTCTTTTTTGGGCTTAGACCCCTTGCGCCACCTTTATATATTACTTGGGAGTCGGGGGCATGCGAACAATTTTGGAAAATAAGCCCCTAAGTGTACATAGTGAATTAATAAATAAAGCATTGCTTACCATGCGTTGCTTGTTCAAAGATACCCATGAATAAAGAAATATGGTGACTTTACTTAAAGAGCATGACACGTAGAAGGATTCTGGAATCCAAACAATGCAAGATATATGTTGTGAATTTCACGTTGCATCTGACCCAATTGTCTCAAGTTATCGTCACGGGCAATCTGAAGAAGCAACTAAAAAGATGTAGGGTAGGAAAACGATAATCTTGAAGAAGGTCCACGAATTCCAAGAGTTCCTCTAGTTGGTATTCATTCATTACGAAAAAGCTTTTGACAGACTCAAGTACGAAAAACTGTGGGGCGCCTGAGACGCAAAGGAGTCCCTGATAAAATCGTCAACCTCATCGAAACGCAGTACGAGGTTTTTACCTGTATAGTCCAGCATAACGGAGCTTTGTACGACCAACCCTATGCGGGTAGTCACCGATGTGAGACAAGGATGTATACTATCACCGCAACCGTTCTTCATCGTAATCGACGAAATCATGGTAGGTGCAATTTACTGTGTACCGTACCATGGGCAGCTATCACAATGGAGCACCTCAACGACTTCGAATTGGTTGATGGCTGTTAGACTATTAGCACAACGGAGCTCTGATATTTAGCATTTGAAAACCCAACAACCTTGACTGGGGATTGAATCCAAACCCACTGAGGTAAGAAGCAATACTCACATTTGATGTTAATAATGTTTGGTTTCCTTGTAGCAAAATAATCTCTCTGTGCAATAACCGCAACTCACTTTGTTGTCACCTAAAACAGAATCAAGTGCATTGCAATAAATTAATAAAGTATCAAAGGGCTTCCCACGTTCTGTTGCCCTAGACGTTTTACTACTCACATCAAACTTGAAATTGTCGTCTGTTAAAATTGCAAGCTTCAAACTATTTATCAGAGCGAAAGCCAATACCTTGTAACAACTGATAATACGAATATCTATGACAATTGATTGACAATAAAGTTGTCGCATCGATCGATTTCTCGATAGGTTGTTTTGAAACTAGTCTCATTCGGTCATTCGCAGACGCTTGTACTACAACAGCAAAATGTCCAGTAGACTACGGTGGTCATTTTTGATCGGAATTGTTGTACAATTCAACATTGCCCAGGCAGAAGATTTATCGTGTTCACGAATAGATTTCGACCAAGCTACTGTTACATATCTGTCACGGTGTTCGTTTTACCAGGAATTCGTTTCGAAACCATACACCGAATCGGTTAATTTCAATCCTTTCAGAAAAGATACGAAATATTACCTCTCTAATAAGTGGGAAGGTTTAACATGTGGAGAAACCGTCGAAAGCTTTAGTTTGAATGAAGAAACCGAACTGAGAATGGTTTATAACTTGATTTTTGACTATGGAGCTACGCTAGAGGTGCGAGTGATTGATCTGGATAGATTGGATGGCGATAATAGACCAACAGTAGTAATCCGTTGGAAAACTGAGCAAGCAACCACCGGCTGGGGGTTATTTAGAGAGAAAATGGACAAAACAGTCAAGAGAGCGAAGGTAAGTTTGTAGAAATCTTAAAATGTGCTAACTCAAGTGGGAGCTTACCTTACCTTACCATTCAGGTTACGGCCTGAGTGTCCTTTACTGTATACAGAAGTTGTCTGTCACCTTTAACCTATCACAACCCAGGAAGCAAAGCTACATGCCGTTCCATTTTCCGAGCTTCCAATCGTAGCTCCTTTTTTCATCGCCTAGCGCTATCTTCACAAATTACGTAACACAATAAAACCAGAAAGGGAGTGAAGAAAAGTGTTGTATGAATCCGTATAAAGGAATACGGGCAATAAAAAAACATCCGGGAATAAGGATTTTTTTCCTCTGTTCGGGACCTAACACCACTGCGACCAGTAATTTGATCTATTGTATTATATTCCGTGTCCTTAGTAGTTTAGTGCATGTCGAATTACTCCATAACTATTGAGAAATGATGAAGTATTTGATTTTTTTTACAGTTGTCATTCTTGCATTTATCGCAAGGATCCGACTCTAATTGAAAGGTCCCGCTATTTATATCCTTGGGAGTGTTGAAACCAGGGTTGAAAAAGTCACCAACATTCACTATGAAATGAATGTTTCATCCATAGTGAACTTTGATGAATTTTAGTGATTTTTTTCAGCCCTGGTTGAAACTCCCTCCCATTTGTCAGTCAAAATTGGATTCCTTAGCATCAAAATTAAGGAATGACACCGTTAATGACCATGCATCAGAGCCCTAGTCTTAACCACTTCAAACTAGGGAACAACGAATGGAAGATCAGGAATCACATAGATGAAAACTAAATATTATTTAACTCATTTTTTCTTTGTTTCAAGATCATCCTCGGTGGACAAAGCCAAGTCTTGCCACTATTAACAAGGCATAAAAAGTAACTAGGACTAAGATGTGTTCCTTGGATTACTGAAAAATCCTGTTCTCCTAGTTTGAAGTAGTCAGGACTAGGAATCGGTGGTAGATCCCGTAGCGTACCACGAAAAGGTGATCTACCCACGTTACGGGGTGGGAATACGGATACCCGCCTGTACGTGAATTCGACGAATCGGTGCTATATGGATTGAACTTAGTACCAATATTTAAATGAAGAATGGATTGCATATCATGTACGACGGTCCAATATTCGATGTAGATCTTAAAACGCTAGGATCACGACTACTGATCACCATGTTTTGCACTTCGAATGAGGTGTCACATCTAAATTTCAATCAGAAGATCTTCAAATAGTGAATAAATGTACGAAAAACCTTCATTTATTTATCGCACCTAGATCCAAACTGGAGGCGGCGGGTGTAATTTCCGGTTCCGTCGAAGAAATCTTTCGGGTTTGGTTATTTTCTTGACATTTCTGGCATAGAGTATCATTATGCTTGCTACACAATATACAAATTCATGCATTGGTTGGCATATAAAGAATTGAAGAAATCCTACTATTATCGTGCTCTATATTTACGCAGGAAGTTTTCTAAATCTTCACCAATCTTCTCACCATGTGTGCAACTCACAGCAAAGTGAAATATTTCCTGCATCTCATACCCCGTACATACTATGGTTTATATCATGTAATATATGCTGTCTTGCAATGAGCACTCATACATCTAGTTGTCACTGGAAATCCTATGTATGAGTGCTCATTGCAAGACAGCCTATATTACATTATATAAGCCATAGTCTGTACGGGGTATTATACCGCGTTCACATTATAGCCTTTATCACGTAATATAAGCTGTCTTGCAATGAGCACTCGTACATAGGATTTCCAGTGAAAATTAGATGTATGAGTACTCATTGCAAGACAGCGTATATCACGTGATATACGCTGTAATGTGAACGGGATATTATATAGAGTCACTGATGCATCGCTCTTCTGGGGCTATTTCATTACTTTTTATTATATAATGCTAGCGTAAAATCCAGTTGAATTTTCAGTTAACCCATCGTAAAGTAGATAGTTTGATGCTATTAACCTCTCTATCAAAATACAAAAGTTCCACACCGTAGAGCAATACTCTGTGTTTTCACTAAAGCTGCACTCAAGAGCGCTATGAAGTATACTTGCAGTAAAAATACAGAGTGTGACTCTGCGGTGCGGAACTTTTGAATTTTGATAGGGAGTTTAATAACACTAAACTATCTATTTTAAGATGGGTTGACCGAAAATTAAGTTGGATTTATCATAAGCATCTTATATTTAAAAAAAAAAAAATAGTTCCAAGGAGGTATGTATTTGTACTGAGATCTCAGCAATACTCTCGATTATTATCTGAATCTCGGCTTGTTTTCTACTGAGAGGCAGCAAAATAAAATGCCGAGCTACAATGCATTATAAAGTAGGTGTGTACAATTGGATTGTCAAAACATTGGAATTCAGGCATAAATTTTACGAATAATGCTACTCCGTTATTTCCAGATCAGATGTAATTACACATATAGAACAAATAGACGCTGCTTGGGACTTGGGACTCAATGTGTAAAAACTGGTGATATAAAACTAGGCAATACCAGCGCCGGCCACGTCCGAATGCAGGTCAGCCGACGCCGATGGTGTAGTGGTAAACGTGACTGCTTTCTCAACCCAATGCGTCTGGGTTCAATCCCAGCCGAGGTCGGTGAGATTTTTCTGAGGCATAGAAATCTCTGGTCACGTCTTCCTTCGGAAGGGAAGTAAAACCGTTGGTCCCGGCCCATGTGTGTTTGAATTTTGTGCGATATCCTACGCAGGTGTGGAAGATGTCTTCCTGCACATTCGATTGCCGTCAATGGATGGCAATCCTTGTCCGTCGGTGATTGGCACTAGATTGCGGAACAGAAGCCGACGTTAAATAAAGGAACGAAGAAGAAAAAGAAGAAGAAGAATGCAGGTCAAGAAAGGAATGGGTAGGAATCTGTTGACGTGACACTCGCTTAGATGGAATCCTATTTAACAAATACCGTAAATGGTTTGGATGATGCTCCAAAGAAATGTACAATTCATCAAAAACAAAATGAAAGTCTCGACGATTTTTTTTTGAGTTGTGATAGCATTGCTTGAAATCGGTACAATAGCTATTAGAAGATTCAGTTCAGTTTAGAATTCACTCACTAGGCGCAACTAGCGTGAAATTGGAGTTCAATCTACTTCCTCAATATGACTTCTCGATTAAATAGGAGGTGTCTAGGCAAAAGTTGTTTAAATGAATAATAATTATTGGATGATGAAGATCTCAGTTCAGAATTCGCTCACAAGGCAGTGATAGTGTACCATTTAGGTTCAAGATGTTTGCTTAACTTGACATCTTGGTTAGAAAAAAGTTATTCAAATACATAAGGACTATGGGATGGTCAAGATCATTGTGTATTTTGCATCAAATTCCATATTTTTATTTGACAGTACGACCAGAAAGCAGATTTCTGTGTTTAGTGAAATTATATGGATGGACAAGATTTATGACATGATTGGCCTCTCAGTTCAGTTTACACTTACCATGCAGCGTAGTTTTTGATTCTAAACCCAAGTAACATAAATTCATGGAATTATGTCGTGTAAACTGCTATACTACCAAAAACCAGTTATACAAAGGTTATATGCACTGTTATAGAACATGTGTGTTGCTTGGAAACGCTTGCTTAAGCAGTCTATATTTCGACTAGATAGAAGGTCGCTGTCTTTAGTAAAGCTATTCAGATGTCTATTGTTTACTGGACAGCTCATATCAGAATTCTCATATCTTATCTTCTTATTGCTTAACTTGACTGCTCTGCTACATAGAAGGTTGCTGTCTTTGGAAAAGTTGTTCAGATTAATACAAAAAAAAAAATCCAAATTTTATTGTTACGCTCCAACTGGAATTATGTGATTGTCTTCAGCTTTCATTTCATTTTCATGGTGACTACACATCACAAATTTTTGTATTGATAATATATCACGATATATGCAATTTGCATGGCAATCTTTCTCGAAATATATAGCGCACACGTTATTAACGCTAGATTTGGCGCAACTTTTCACAATATTTCATGTAAGTTTAAGCGCAATTTCGCAATTTTGTTGTTTATGCCAACTATAGCTTAAAATTAAACGAGAAAAGACCTTTTTCTGTACATAACAATAACTAAACTTCAACAGCCACATCGAATATGTCTGTGAGCATGCTTGGAATGCCATCAACACAATAGCTAGAATCATGCTGAACAACTCTATTTCTAGCAATATCAAGAGGCGTCTTCTGGCTAGATACTGTGGTATGTAGATCCAGCTTACTCCTTGTTTGCTGTGCTACTACAATCAGAGAGTAGCAATTTCACATTTGTATGTTTTGTGGAAGCTGACATTTGTGCCTTTGAAGTTTCACACTAAGGCTTCCTTATGGTATCACCTTAAAGTGACAGCAAAAACAAGCTCGTAGTCCTAAGCAGTCATGCTTTTTTTTTTTTGCTTTGCAGATACAAATTGAAGCCAACATGAATACTAAAAGTGATGTCGCTATAGAGTATTTCACTGTATTCAACTTTGAAGTAGAGAGCGATGAATGTCAATCAATAGATGAATTTGCACCAACGACTACAACTTCAACTCTAACAAGCACCACACCATCAACTACAGCTTCTTCTACAACTTCAAGAACCACTTCTACAGAAAAATTAACCAGTACATCGACCGAATCATCCACGACGGTAATGACCACAGCGTATTCTCCGAGAGATGAAAGCACATCAACATCGACGAAGCTTACATCACCGGAAGTAAGTTTATCCACATCCACAGATAGATCGAGCACAACGACAACCTTTTCAGAGATTGCTCCAATTTCAAGCGAATGGATTTGGATTACATTAGCGGCAGTATTTGCGACACTATTTTGCCTATCAACTGCTGGTTCTGCTTACATTTATGCAATGAACAAGGATCTTCTCAAACTGAACACGAAACTCAGGGACAAAAGACAAAATAAATTTCAATCGGATGTATCTCATAATTCTTTCAAGGAGGTAAAGCGTGGAGTTCAAATATATCAAGACGTATAACAATTAAATTTGAATAAATCAATTCAGAAGGAAGTCATCGGGTTTAATCAATAATTTGTTATTTTATGTTGATCTTTTGTCAAACGATACATTCAAATACAAAATAATATCTGTGAATGGTGAATATGTTTCGCGCATGCTTAAAAGTTCTATATGGGAGGTAGCAGAAACAGGTTGATGACACATCGGTTTGGCTAAAAAAAATCAATAATGATGACAATCACACATGCTAGTAGTGAATGAGTTCAAGTAGTGCTGGAATTGAAATTCATAGAATATATTTTATAATAAACATTTTTTCAGTAGTAGCGAATATTTAAAGTTGCTTACAAAGATGGCAGAAGGTACGTATGAATACGAATGTATGAGGGCTGAGCTGCTAGGAGTCGAAAAACCGAAACGGGAAGAATTCGAAGAAAAAATGAAGCTCCAGAGGGAAGCCGAACAGGAAGAGCATCTCACGGAACAGATGAAGGTAAAATTGTTAAAAAATTAACATTTATTACCTGTTACTGGCATTAATTAATCAACGAAAGTTCATTAGTCTAATACACATCCCATTCGTAAACGAATATACATTTAATATATATCTTTTAGGAAGTTGATTTACATGATGAACAATTGCATGGTACTGGCGGTAAAATGGATGAACTAAACAGTATCCTTTCGATCACTCAACAACGAATAAACAAATTTAAGGTAAGCAAGTCCAGTGGTTCGTCGAAGAAAGACTTTTAAACCAAGCTTCACATTACAGAATGTTTGTGGTAGTCTGACAAGCTTACTGAAGTTGCGACCCGGCACACCAAGTGGGGGATGTTCATCAAATGACCCCACCAATGGAACCGAATCCAATGACATCAATGCTGCTCTGGATACGTTGGACACTATGAAAGACGTCGAAAATGCAAGTGATGTAAAAATTGCAAAATCGGCTGCCACAGATCTCGGACAAAAAATGACCTGTCAACTGGACAAACTCGATTCCTTGCTATATAAGGCGGATAATGCAACGTACTCTATGAAAAACCAAACTGATCAAATGAAGAAAATTGCAAAGTAAGCTCTAATATGCAGCCAATTTTGCCAAACAATACAAACATTTACTCGTAAACTTTCTCAAGTGCTTAACTCTCTCTTTCAAATTGGCTACCTTTGAATAAAAATGAGCCAAGCTTATCAAAGTCTGCTTATTGTTTACAAAAAAAAAACTTTATTGAGGTAGCATAGAATGGATTTATCCTGTTCCGGAAATCCGAATTTCGCCAGATGTTTACGTAGATCAAAGTTCATTTCAATATACAAACCATCTATCATCGATTTACTTTATTAAAATGCGGTCTTCCAAGCTAAACAAAGACATTCATTTGAGCACAATAAATTTACTGGTACAATGGAATTTGTGTAAACTCAGCAGAAAAAGAGTTAACCAGAGTCGTCAGTCAAGTGATATAACACCGAATCAGTATGTGATATTAGTTTGCACCACATGTATACATGATGTTGTATGGAATCAAAAAGCTAAAACAGAAACAGATAAAAAGTACTTTTTTCCAGTTTTATGTAGATTCTTATTAGTAATGCTACGTGTTGTTGTTGATGTTGTCTTTTGCCGCATGTGAAATATTATTAAACATTACAACGAATACTCGAAAACTAACAGTTGCATAATATTGGCAATAAAATATCCTTGAAAATGAAATGAAGTTTTTATTTGATATTCGATCATGAAGCTAACTATAACAGTGGTTAAAATTATATAATTTGCTCAACGTATCGCAATAGCAAATAATCACTTGCCCCCTCCGCATTGTTAGGATTATTAAGCGTAGGGTGAATGATATTTCCTATTTGATTTTGTTTCGTGCTAAATTTTTCTGATAGAATACCGGTAAGTTTTTATATTTATTTCTATTTTATGGTCAAAAATATTTTCTTTATACATTTGGGGCAATAGGCACTGTTCGGCCATGAACACAATGCAATCAGGTGTTTTTCTTTTTTTTATATACAGGGGGAATTTGCTCCCAGACACCTGAGAAGATAACTCAGGGTGTGGGGATGGGAGAAGTAGCGCTCCCGATGCACTAAACCTTACCCTGTGCTCTTGGCCCTTGCCCTGCCCGGAACCGCCCGAAAGCATTACATCATGGGAGGGGGCCGGCTGCGCTATGGCGCATCACACTAGTGGTGTGTCATAGACGTGACGCTCGCTACTGCACAGTGTGCAGGGCCTTCCTCTTATTGTTCGCTGTGAATTGTTCGCCTAGAGCAGACGTGATAGCCAGCCAACTGTCCACGGCAGCGCAGGACAGATGTGACCGCTTACCAGCTGCGTGTGCTTAGCACTCTAAGAACCCGGTGTCACTCCTGCCTAGTGTTTGTGCAGGGCTTATCGACCTCCTGGGACGAGCTGGATTGGGCTCCAGCGTCCTTACTCTGCTGTAGTTCGTTTAGCCGCAATATCTCTCCCTTGGGTTCGATAAAAAAAAACGTTTCCAGGGCACACCACGAGGAGGCGAACCACTTCATGCCCCTTGCAATCGGGTGTGGACTGGATCGGAACGCCAACAGTGTAGTAATGGCCCGAGGGTAATGTGCATCACGAAAGAAGAAAGATCTGGGGCCATGAAAAGGGCCGTTTGTGACACAACTACCACGGAACCGATGAAGGACACGGATGACCAGGATATGGACTAGTGAACGAAGTTCGTTGCTGCTCTACTTTGATTTATTGTCTCTATGCAGGAAAGTGCTGCTCCTGAATACAGCACCGCTGGATACAGCTATTGTCTGCTTCCGGTTTCTTCTATTACTGCTTCTGGTTTTAATGTCACTTGTAGACTACTAGTTTACTAATGAGCGGTACGCGTGAACCGGCCCGGTATATATACACACTCGCGACCCGACCAAACACCAATCACACGCGCCGTCGTAAGGAAAAAATATTCTTCTTCTTCTTTGCATGGAATGTTCTAGAAACAAATTTCGTCGCAGGAAATTTCAGTTCTCGCTGGGAGCGTTTGATCGCGGACATGCACTCATAAGTTCGGTGCAAAATGAACAAGCTTTATTTACGTTCTATTCTTTCTTCAAAAATGGTCCGCATCGTGCCAAAGTCAAGGGGATACATATAAGTAAGTCGGCAAAATAATCATGGGTTCGTATAAGCATACATTTTTTTTAAACTTTTTTCCAGGGCATCAAAATCAACTGTAAACAAAATAAATATGAAGGAATTTGAGATATTCTTATTTGAAGATAGTGGTTTGAAAAAACGGGTCACACGATATCTCATCATTGCTTTGACCAAATCGGCTCATTTTTGGGGTGAAGACTCGTTGAATAGATCTCGTGTGCATGATGGAGGCCGATTTTTGAAAAGTGGATTTAAAAAAGATAAAAAATATTTTTATGTTTTTTCATGTTTAAAATGTTCAGTTTTTTTTTTGTATTTAAAAAAAATAAATACAAAAATCGGGAGTCGTATGCGCACGGGATACATCCAGTCCTAAGATATTGTGGGACTCGTAAATCAACTCTATGTTTCGAGATAATCAATTATTTACAAACAGCAACATTTCACCTCAACACGTGTTTACTAATGCGAATACTAATACTAACACGTGTTTACTATTATGAATCGAATTCAACACGAACTATTTTTGAATAATCAGTTTTAAGATTTTAAGCAGTAACGGACCTTTGCACAATGTAACGAGACTCTAAATCGGCCTTACAGAAAAGGCTCTAATACTACCACAAACTCGCTTCTCAGGGCAAATTTAGAGGAACAATTGAGGAATTTGCGCTTACCCGTACGTGAAGAACCTCACAATTACTTAGTTGGACTTCTTCTTCAAAGTTACGAACGCCGAATATTGAAGTTCATGCAAGAGGAATCAAGGGATTAAAGCTGGGTTTAGACAGGGCAAGTCAATTGAGCAAGTCACTTGAATTCAACTGACTTGAATGCGAATTGAACGTGTAAACCATGCCATTTTACTGACTTGATCAACTCACTTGAATTGAAAAAAGTTGAACCAGGCTCAACTTTTCAAGCCAATTGAATTCAACTGAGTTGATTATTTGACTTGCCTAGTCTAAACCCAGCTTAAGGGAACAAAAGCAAATACTACACGCAAACCTCCTCCCCATGGACATGGAGGTTGACGGTTTAATTTCTTTATATTTGCATGATGATGATTTCCTATTGTGACACATATCACCTGCTTCAGTATGCCTCAAACGATTAATTCTTGGTTGTTAATAGAACTTCCTAGATGTCTGCTTCATGCAGACTGATTAATTCTGATTATAGTATCAGATTTGTTCTGTATACAGAGGAACTGTGAGGGCTTATTAGAAACTTCTCACCAATAAAGTAATGATCTTCTTGTAAATTTTGCATATCATTTTATTAATATTTTATTTAATTTAAGCATATTATTTTTGTTACAGTCAACTAGCATTAGCATACGATACAAGGGATTTATTATTACATGCTCGTTTTTGCGTAAAATAATCAATTACCTTTGAAAGTTTTTTCAATTTTTTTTTTTTGATCTGAGAATTTCCCCAGTTTGGTTAGAAGTTTCGAAGCTAACGCATGTCCACAGGCCTAATAGAAAGATAAGTAGAAAAGTGTATCATGAAAAATGGTTGCATGCAGGGTTGCTTCCACTCACTTGCTATAGATGAGTGATTTTCGGAGTTTTGAATTCGTTAGATGTTGTAATGGAGATTTGTGTTGTTGGATCCGGGAGGAGATTGAAGGGCGGGTGTCGACGCATAGAGCCTGCCATTTTCGCTTTCAGAGTGTGGCAGGCAGCGGTTTTATGATTCTTGTGTCTAAAATGTGCAGAGTACCATTATAGCTTCTAATGGTTTTGAGATTCCTGGATGCGTGAAATATATTTGTGAGAATATCTTTTTGAGATTTTAATAGTTACGTTTTGTTTGTAATTTATATTTTATTTCTTTTGTGTAATTATCGTAAATAATAGTTATTCAATAATAGATAGTTCATCCATATATTCGTACTTTGACGCGAAGCGCTGTGGATTATGAGATGTTCGATGACCCTGGAGGGATCGATTTTGCTTACTGAGCAGAAAATCATGGATTCAACCCCAAGCTCTTCCACACCACATTAAATCGCCACCATCATTTGCACATTTGATATTGAACATTAACCTCGGAAACTATTTGCATATCAAGCGAAAACGTAGTCCTGTATTGTCGCGAGGCGTTATGGTTCTGAGATGCTCGATGACCCTGGAGGAATCGTTTTTGTTTACTGAGCAGAAAATCATGGGTTTAATCAAAAGCTCTCCGTCATGACTCTTAAAATTCATGATCACTAAACAAAATGAATATGTTCTTTCGATAGCCGGCTATCGATAGATTAATTAATTAATTTAGCTTTATTTAGGAGGCTTTCAGCCTTAGGCTGGTTCGCCTCCGAACCTATCGATAGATTAAATAAACAACAAATAAACAATACATACTTTTGGTTGCATCGCCAACTTGAGGTGAATCCTAACCGAATACCCTACCCAACCCTCCAACTCCGTAGCACTTATGAGGGTGTCGCTAAGTCGGTGGCCTCTCGTTAAGTAAATACTACATCAATATTTCCTTCCCTATCCCTAGTTATGGTAAAGATGGGCGTGGCCAGGAATAGCGACAGTCATGCTTCTGTTACTCTTGTTTAGATTGGAACCAATGTTTACTCCCCAGCATTATTCCTGAAAGTAGTCTAACTGAGAATTTCAGAAGAGACGTGAGTGTCGCTAGTATCCAATCTACGAAGTATATCATAACAACGCTAACGCTAAAAGCAAATAACATTTACGGAGATATTATATTTTCAGCAAAAACAAAAGAACGTGTGCGCATTTGAAAAATTTCGTTGGCTAGCTTTGGTGTGGCCGTTGGTCGGTTGGGCGCCTTGGCAGGTTCCTGACTGACTGTCGATCGTACCGGGGCGGAAGCGAGAAATATTTACATGTACACCCAACCGGGGGATGTAGGATATGCTTACAATTATGTGGGATTTATCATCAGAGGTTGTTAGTGGAGACCGCATGTACCGAAGATGCAATATACCGAGCTACAGTCAAATGTAAGAAAATGGAGAAAGAAAAATGTGGAGTGTATTAGTGAGTAAAATGAGTCATGTCGAAAAAAAGTGCCGACTGGGGAACTCGAATCACGAACGTTGCGATTATCAGACCTGTGCTTTCTCCACTGTTCTCTCCATGCTTCGGAATATGGATAGGCTAAAAACAAACAAGAAGCGCTCTTTTCCTCGCATACTCGACTTCGTTTGCTTTTCTGCTTTTAGAGAATCGAGGCAAATGTGTACGTCGTTCTACCATGTTATACATAACAATCAAGGCAAATGCTTGCTTGTGTAGGTGAAAGCATATACAGAACACGGAATAAAAAAAGATTAAAAACCATTGCATCGTCTGCAAGGTCAACTTCTAACATTCGCTGCGATGTTCATAAACAGAGGATGATAGGAAATGGAACTAACATTCATTGTAATAAATTTTTGGTTTGCGTGTACCTTTACGGAAGACGATGCACCGGTCGCCGTCGGGGGAGCAATACACCTATCGCTCGCCAACACTTGTTGACATATATATATAAATAATTGAACCACTCTCACGTCCATGGATGGTAACCTAACCGTCACTCGAGCCTGAGACCCGAAGATTCCGCGCTCTGCTACATGGTTAGCATTGGAAACGCGCCTCATACTCGGTCGAGTTTCGACGGATATATCCGAAAGATACAACCAAAACATGTTGCTATCTACTGTGGCGCTTCTAGAGACAGATTGGCCTGAACAGTCTGTGCCACGGCGTAGTAGCGATGATCTTTTAGGAGTCAGTTCAGATTTTCCGTCGTTCTCACGTTTTCTCTTGGAGGTTCCGAAAAACGAGACACTTAAACGCTGTCCAGACTGGAGAGTTATAACATGTTATAACGGTTGTCAAATAATTGCAACACAGAAACCACCATCAAGATAGCGCTATAACATGTTATAACTCTGTAGTCTGAACGTACTATTAGAACTGGAACTGGAGTTTTCGGTACCGCTTCCATATGCCCTTTGAAATTCGTGCGAATTTCTAACCTAATTGTAATATGAGTTAATTTCATTCATATTTTAGAGGTTATTCATATATGAGGAACATTAATTGAGTTAAAATATACTGTCATCTACTTTTTAGCGACTTTCAGAAATCAAAACTCAATTATGGTTTAGATTCAACGACCGTGTTTCTCCAAACTTGCGTACAATAACTTGTACACAATTAAAATACAAACTTTAAGCTTCAAAGTTACCGCTCTCTTCACTATCACTTCAGTTAGAAAATCAAAGTAATAAAGGGTGATACGGTCAAAATTTGGTCAATATCAACTTGACGTATTTCTTTCAATCTTGCATTTAAAAAACCTGAACACCCCTCATTTTGAAGGTGTGTGTGTGTAGAATGTTGCTCCTATTTTGATTTTGGAATTCACTCTTCAGTTGTCAAAATGCCGTCCAAGCAAGAAGAGCAGCGTATCAAAATTTTGCTCGCGCATCACGAAAATCCGAGCTACTCGCACGCAAAGTTGGCAAAATTGCTAAAAGTTGCCAAATCAACCGTTACAAATGTAATTAAATTGTTTGGGGAACGTTTGTCGACAGCCAGGAAGTCTGGATCAAAGGGAAATCGAAAACCGGAAGCCGCTGAGACGACAAAGAGAGTTGCCGGTAGTTTCAAGCGAAACCCTAACCTCTCTCTCCGAGATGCCGCAAATAAGCTGGGTGTATCGTCTACAACCGTGCATCGAGCCAAAAAACGAGCCGGACTATCGACTTACAAGAAGGTAGTGACTCCAAATCGCGATGATAAACAAAATACGACGGCCAAAGCGCGATCCCGGAGGCTGTACACGACGATGCTGACGAAGTTTGACTGCGTGGTAATGGACGACGAAACCTACGTCAAAGCCGACTACAAGCAGCTTCCGGGACAGGAGTTTTATACGGCAAAAGGAAGGGGAAAGGTAGCAGATGTTTTCAAGCACATGAAACTGTCAAAGTTCGCAAAGAAATATCTGGTTTGGCAAGCCATCTGTACCTGTGGCTTGAAAAGCAGCATTTTCATAGCTTCCGGGACTGTCAACCAAGAAATTTACGTGAAAGAGTGTTTGAATAAACGTCTGCTGCCTTTCCTGAAGAAACACGGTTGTTCCGTACTGTTTTGGCCGGATTTGGCATCTTGCCATTACGGTAAAAAGGCCATGGAGTGGTACGCCGCCAACAACGTGCAGGTGGTTCCCAAGGACAAGAACCCTCCCAGCACGCCAGAGCTCCGCCCAATTGAGAAATACTGGGCTATTGTCAAGCGGAACCTAAAGAAGACCAAAAAAACTGCTAAGGGCGAGCAGCAGTTCAAGGCAAACTGGCTTTCTGCGGCGAAGAAGGTGGACAAGGTGGCTGTACAAAATCTGATGGCAGGGGTCAAGCGTAAGGCCCGGCAATTCGGATTTGGAAAAGCGGAAGCCTAACTGAATATTTTTCCTGAATTTTATACTAATTGAACTTGAAAAAGAAATTTAATTTGATTTTTTAAATAAACGATTTCACCGATTTACACGCGTTTTCCCTTGACCAAATTTTGACCGTATCACCCTTTAGTACGCTCAGACTACAGAGTTATAACATGTTATAGCGCTTAAAACGTGGTTATCACATGGCGATGATTAGGGAGCGTAGTGCCGGATCATTTTCTCGGGCCTCTCAGAACTTTTCTAGGTTTTCCTCTTCAGCCTGTTTTTGTACCTTGCGTTTTAAACGTCCGACGCACTTATAAAGTGATTGTAGAGAGTTGTAGAGAGCAATGTTTCCTTGAGCGGTGCCGGTGGTGTAGTGATAAGCGTGATTTCCTCTCGTCCCAAAAGGCCTGGGTTCAATCCCAGTCGGCGCCGCCAAGATGTTCTGAGGCATATAACATCTCTGGTTCCCGGTTCATGAGTTGTGATGGGTCGATGGGGTAGGGTCCCAGGTGTGGGAGCTGCCTCCCTGGCGTCGGTAGCTGAGCGCACGGAAAACAAGATCGTCGGAAAACAAATCAAGGAAAAAAATGTTTCCTTTCGCCCGAGCACTAGCATACATCAGGGGGATCATTTTTCGCTGAAGCAAACGCACACCTAGTTACATGTTTCCGTCGTCTGAAGGATATTTTATTTCGGGGAAATGTTGCTTTCGGAGAACAGCTGGAAGGGAAGTAAAGCCGTTGGTACCGGCCAATGTGTGCTGAATAATTGCGAAATCCTACGCAGGTGTGGAGCTGCCTTCCTGCACATTCGATTGCCGTCAATGGATGGCAATCGATGTCCGTCGGTGATTGGCACTAGATTGCGGAACAGAGACGGACATTAATAAAGGAATGAAGAAGATCATCTTATAATATTGATGTGTGAGATAATTTGTTCTGTGTTTTATTAAGTAGTTTTAAACAGGCATGGAAAATCATTTGCATTCATTTTATGCAATCATTTACATTCATTTGCCTCTAACTTTTTTCATTAAAAACAGCAATCAGCAAAATGATGTACAGAGCTTTAGTAGGTTTTGTTATTAACTACAACTTTTGGCTGTAACTCAAATCTGTATCTCTTATGCATCACGAATTAGAGCGGGCAGAACTTGTTACTGTTTTTCAGTGAATTCACTAAAAAACAGTAGTGGCTTCTGTTCGCTCTGGTTCGTCATAAATAAGAGATACGGATTTGAGTTGTTAACAAAAGTTGTAGCTAATAACAAAACCAATTTAAGCGCTCATAGATCATTTTGCAGAATTCTGTTGATGAAAAAAGTTAGGGGCAAATAAATGTAAATGAATGCACGAAATTAATGCAAATGATTTTCCATGCCTGGTTTTAAACAGTACTTTTCAAACATTTTCCTTAACAAACGGTGCATTCTACCAAGTAATATTGTGGAAGTGATAAAATATGCAACTTTTAACTGCTTCTCAAAATCCGATCATAGCCAGCATTTGTTCTGGTGCTATCTTCGCTTCTTGTTTTCGTATTTTAGCTTATTGCGTGCTCTCAACTTATTGTTCTACATAGATGCACTTCCATCATGTACCATTTTTGCATTGATATAATTATGTGGCAAGTACAATCATACTCTTGCCCAGGGAAGTCGAAAAAATTTCCAATCCGAAAAATGACTAGTCCGGACCGGAAATCGAACCCAGCCACCTTCAGCATGGTCGATAAATTTGGTACATATTAGAAATATGATTTTAGTGAAAAACTGATATTAATTGCGTACATTTAGGCGTATTTTAAACTATTTTGTGACAAAATGTGCAGTCTATTAGCAAAGCATTACATTTGTAGACATTTTAACTCCAGATTCGTCTTCAGCGATCACAAGTCAAGCAAAATTATTAGCTTCTGAATTTTGGATATAAAAAACCTGCATGATCAACGTCGCTTCCGTATTGAAAATTGTGATTTTTAATCTTATTTTAATTCGTGAAAATAAACTAAACATGCCATTTACAAACTAAATCCATGCATTAGAAAATCATTCGCTACTACGCTGCCTATAATCCCATATCAGTCCCATTGAAAAAAAAGGCATTGAGAAAATGGCAGTCGAAGTTACGAAGTGTATTTCCATGTAAATATTTGATAAATAATAGTAAATTAATTGTTTAAATTTTTCAAGTTAAAATCTGTTGCAATGAAACTTGCATGTTTTGTTATATCAGCGAAAAATATAGCAATTCAAAAAGCAGACCTTTAACTTGAACCACAGACAAACAGACGTAACACTTCATTGTGTATCTTCGTTCACGCATTTAACGGTTGATTTGAATAATATCAGTTCCGCAAACTACTCGCCGCAGCGCTGGCATCGCATCACTTTGACGTTTCTATACATTCTATAGAACTTTTATGCAATATTGTTTGCGAATAAGAGAGCAAGCTTGTTTTCCGCGAGAAGCCCGCGAGGTGTCGTTTTTGAGGTCCTGTGTTTTGAGATAGTATGTATTCAAGACAAACTTTTTCAAAGAGTTACGTCTGTTTGTCTGTGCGAGAACTATGGACGATTTAATTTCAGGATGGGACTGATATGCAGCAAACTGACCTGATGTTGTTCACATTTTTCATGAGCAAAGTCCATAGTTTTATCACATAATATGAAAGTAGATGCCAATTGATAGTGGATAGCGTTGTTATCTCAAAATTGACGAAAATCCATATGGGACTGATATGCGATTATAAGCAGTACAGGATTGAACATACGTTTGGAAAAATATTCAGGATAATTGGTAGAATGTGATCGACTATTCACCGTTTTACGGTACTTGTACAGTACTCTCGCCGAAGTGGAAAATGAAGGGTATTCTACGAAAAAAACACTGATGTTCCTTGATTTCTTTCCATCAGAATAACCAACCATTTGTTCTTTCACTCATTTATTTTATATTTACTCGATTATTGATTTTGCAACAGGTTCATGTCCATTTCACTCCATGCAGATTATTTCTATAAGGCACGTCAAAACATGTATTCTGTATACTATGTGAGCTTGAGCTGTAGATTAACTAACTATTCTTGATTCTGCTAAAGGGTGTAGGCCGTGTCAGGACCGAATTTTGGGTATATTTGTTTGATTTATGTACGTTAGTATATATTACAACCGCCGCATACAACAAAGAAGCAACACATTGCCTATGCACAAGAAGCAAAATAATTCAATCAATACGGTTTTACTGCCGCAAGTCCTACACGGCCACTGCTCCTTGGAACCGGTGGAGGTCGTGGCTCGGCATAACTATGGCGATAGCCTTTGGTCAGATTACCAAGGCTTTTGGCTGGCATCATTCGCGATGAAGGCATTCGTGGTTCACGATCAAGACCAGGGTAACGCTCAGTTGTCTCCGTCTCACGATATCCAGCACTGTTGGCAGAACGTGGAGGTCCTCGGGAACGAATATCTTCTTCTTCTTCATCTTCTTCGGAACTCCACCCGTTACTCTCATGCGAACTGACGACAACCGGTTCGATGGAACTCCTTCGTGGAGCTTCGGACGCGCGTTTGTTATGAATAATCTGTTCGCGTTCCTGCCGCTCTCTTTCGATACGCTCCTCCTCGTGACGTTCACGTTCCATCTGTTGGAACTTTTCCTTGGCATTTTGGAACCTATCCTTCGGGGAAACCTTACGTATTGTTGATTCAGGGGAACTTGTTTTTATTTCAACCATTTTCGCGCGAGCTTCAATTTTCTTCATGACTGGAGATTTTCTTATATCATCCCGATAACGAGACGATACATCTCTGTACTTATCCTCCGATGACCGATCTTCAGGATACATGGGTTGCCGTTCCCAGCGATCATCATACCTGTCACGACTATGTTTAGGTTCTTCTGAGGATTTGAAGCGCGTCAAAGGAGCTTTTCCATTCTTATCGGACGAATCTCTATACACCATTGGCTCACTTTCTTTGTACGCTCGACGCTCGTTAAAATCAGCTCTATATCGATCATCAGGACTTTCATCACGAATATATGGTGGTTCTCTCTTGGAAGGCGGTTTAACTGGATCTCGATAGTCACGTTCAATCTTGAAATCTCGGTGATCATCATAGGACGTTGAGTATTTGTTTCTATGCACTCGTTCTGGTGAGTATTCCCTATAGCCATCCCGCATTCCTCTGTGTTTAGGAGATTCGTCTTGATACTTCGACGACTCGGAAATAATCTCGTGATACTTCTGACGATCAGTCAGATTTTCTCGATACCGAACTTTATCGTTCTCATACCCGTCGTAATATTTTCCTGGTCCGTTTGACTTCTTGTACATGTAATTCTCTCCCCGATCGGCCTCATGATGTCGATTTCTCCTTCGGTCATCCTCTGCATCGTGACGTGTATCATCAATAGTAATCTTTTTCTTACGATCTTCCAGCATAAAATCTTCATTGCCAAAGGCCTCTCGAAACCGATTTTGCAGAGGTGTTGGTTTTGTGATAATCGGTTTAACCTCTTCCTCGCGAGAATTGACTGATCCTCGCAAACTCTGATCTTCTTCTCGGCTAGATGAACGCTGGAATCGTCCCTGAGCTTCCTGCCGTACATTTGGGTATAGATAGGTTGTCGGTGGTTCTCGATACTTGTTCACACGCGGTACATGCTCCTCGACATATCGCTCCTTGGACCTATTTTGCGACTGATGTGATGGAATCCCAAATTGCGGCTCCTGATCGTTGACCCATTCTTCCTCTAAAAAATAATTGTAATAAAATTGAACTAATTGATCACGCTTATGATACAAGTTACCACTCGAGCTGTGCGTATCCTGACGTTCTGGACTTGGTGCCAAGTCCGACCCAATTCCGGAAGATCCACGTGAAGACACACCGTGTTTGTTGCCGACCGATGGGAGAGAACTAACTATGCAAGGGTTGCGGCATCTGTAACAAAATATGATTTTTTTTTATTGTTTACTACTTTATGAAATTCTAAACAAAACTTAATATGCAAAAGGTAATGTATCTTATACTAACACATTCTTTTCGTGTGACACTGCAATACCTCACCGTATAAAAAAATCATGTAAATGTCTTATAGCGCACACGTTATTAACACTAGATTTGGCGTAAATTTACACGGTATTTTATGTAAATTTAAGTGCAATATCGCATAAATCTGCAATGCTATTTAAAATAAGTAATGAAATTGGGTTGTTAGCGGAATGCTTAAATAAAGCAGTAAAAAAGGTTATCTTCCATTTAATTCCACTTAATTAATTTTGGTATCTATGACAGATTTCGACTACAATGTGCAGTCTTCATCAGTGTCATTCCATCTAAAGACTTATCTTTGGTTACACAGCAAAAAAATAATTTTGATATCACATCAAAGTGGATCCACTTCTATCGTGTCAAAATATGGTGTAATATTAAGCCTAGGGTGTAAGGTGGTTACCTAGACAACCAGAATGCACGTATATTCAAAGTTGTTTTCGTGATATACAAACATATACAGGGTGCGTGATGAATTTTTGCAGTAAATGACATATTTGAGAAAAATTACATCAGTTAGCTATTCTAGCAATGAATGTTATGTGATTTATTTTCTTTCGCAAAATATGGAAGTTGTAACTAATTTTATTAAAAAAAAACGCCTTCCCTTTCGACGACTGTAGCTAAACGCTTCCGGAAACTGCCATATGCACGTTTGACAATGTTTTAATCCATAGATGTCATCACTACCTTGATTTTAGCTTTTAGGGACTTAAGTGTGGTGTTAGGGGTTCTATTGGTATTCCGTTCGACGATGCCCCGTACAAAATAATCCAACGGATTGATATCGGGACTGCTTGGGGGCCAAATTTCTTTCTCCCAAAATTCCGAAATATTTTCCGCAAGCCATTTCTGTGTTTTATTAGCAGTATGAGCAGGTTCTCCGTTTTATCGCTTTCCCAGGCCTTTTTTATATTATACACTGTTCTTTCAGACACATTTATCCACCGAATTATTTCTATTACGCTTACTCCGGCGCGCAACAAAGCGACAGCGGCTGACCGATTGCTCTTTTGTTTCGACATCTTTACGTTTACTCAACACTGTTTGTTTACATCTTACACCTAACAGTATGAGCAATTCAGTGCTGCCAAATATATCTTAATCATGATCCGCAAGCATGAGAAATTACTATTTGAAATTTACTGCAAAAATTCGTCACGCACCCTGTATACAAACAAACAAGTCGTATAGAATGCAAAAAAAATGGCTTATACGTACAAAAGTTGAGGCTATATACGTGCATAATTTTGTTTAATTTTAAACGAGTTGATTTAACATCATATACGATTTGATCTGGAATAACAAATCCATTTTAAAAAGTCTTACGATGTAATCCGACTTAATTTGTGATACAGTACGACGGAAAAATGAGTCATCGAATATAAGTCGGAAATTTGCATTCTATACGATTTAACTTAAACATAACGCGAGGTATGCCATTCTAATATGCGATTTTGACTTAAACTGTAGCAATTTACGATACTGTCTGTACATTGTTATACAACTTCTAGTTGTCTGCGTAGATTTTGATAATCCTTTAGTGGGAATGACACTGATGAAGACTGCACTTTGTAGTCGAAATACGTATCTGTCATAGACACCAAAATTAATTAAGTGGAATTAAATGGAAGATAACCTTTTTTTTTTTGCTATTTTAACTATTTACAATATTGAAAGAAATTTCGTTGTGTACACACTAACTTTAGATTACTGGAGTCAGTAAAATTTTACTGGGTTTTTGAATTGCGGATCGCCCAGTAATCATCACAGAAATAATTTGCATTACCGAACTGTCCGTAAAGTCAATCTGTCAAAAATAACTGTTCATTCAGTAATTGATTCTAGTTGCGTATACTGGAAAACCCAGTATTTTCTTTTTGTTTATTTCGCTGCAATTTAACTGAGAAGACAGTTATTTGGTTCATTATTATACCGTGTTACCCAGTTATATTAAAAGTAGTGAATGTGCAGTAATAAAAGCATGAATCCTGGTGCAATTTACCGTTTATAATATGCCAATTAATATGATGACTTAATCCCTTGACGTACCCGGAATAGCGCGTCGACAGTGAAAGCAAACAATACAAACATCCATTTTGTTAATAAAAATTTGGTGTAGATCAAGGAACTTCAAAAAGAGTAAATAATAAGCGTTGGTACCAACGAAATAGGTCTTCAATTTCACTGTCGAGCTTTCCCAGTTCCGTCATGATATAATTCATGATATTATTCAAATTTTAACAAAACTGCGCGATTCAACATTTGCTCCCGGATTTTACTGAAGCTAAAATCAACCGGTGAACACTCGTGTTTATTTCAGTTACCATGGAAACGTAATTTGTGATTAGCCCCGGTCCCTTTCAAATTGTATCATTATTTATGAACGGCCTTATATTTGAAATGACGTTTCACATTCATCTAGTGATGTCCGATTTTCATTCGAATAATCGTTTAATCGATTAACGAACCGAAAATCAAAATATTTGTAATCGGTTATATCATGCCGATATAAGCATTAACATCTCCACAGGATCATCACCGATCGTTTCAAACATGTGCTGCACTCTCATTCGTGGAAAAATGGCAGCACAGCGAACAAAAAATAATCGATTAGTTGTTAATCGAGTAATTAAAAAATGGGCCATCTCTGATTTTGGTGTGATTGTTTTGATAAAAATGAGCGCAAAATTTCATCTATTCCGAGGGGGCAGCAAAACCACAAAATAACCTTGAATACGGGGGGTTCTCATTGGATGAAAGGGACCGTGAAGTGAACCCTACACGATTGCTTTTATTGACAATAATCGTATTGTCAATACATGCTATATTGACGTCAATATATCGAGATTGACAATATTTCTGAATTCACACCATCAATATTATTGTCAATAATTCCCCTTCGCGTCAATATATTGATGCGTGTGGGGTTTGCTTGAAAGAAGACACTAAAATACACGAAACGAAAATCAATTAATATTTTCATGTGTTTCACTTATACATTTTTGCCAAAACATCAGCCTTATACATTCCATAAGTCAAACCACATAGGTCCTATAAGAATGCATAAAAGGTATGTGTGATCGCTTATACATTTCATTTGACACATGATCTTCATTAACTTTTTGCAAGGCGTCTGCTTATTAGTTGACTTATACATTTTATGAATAATCAGCAATAGAAATTTGCCAAAAGGTATAAGGAGATTTCTATCCGTGTAGAAAGTTTTTTTTCCGACCGTTTCATCTTAGTATTCATCTTTGCTAAAATGGCGGCGGGAATAAAATTGACAGGTTAGAGTTTACAATTCGTGGTCGGTAAAACAAGGTGGCTATTTTGCTGACCAGTCGGTAAAAAAATAAAGACTTTTTTGTGCACAGTAATTACTTTTACTGACTTTTCGTGAAATCACGAAAATTTGGAAATTAACTACTTTCTCAGTAAATAAATGTTCTGTGTAAAGTATTTTGCATCAAACGATACCGAAGTTCAGTTTGTGTTTTACAGAACGTCAGTTATTCACCTGATTTAAACTGAATTTTCAGTAAATCTATCGTTTTACCGTGTAAGCCCAGTACAAAAAATACCGAACAACTAAATGCTGGATTAGTGTGTATGCCTGCCGCATGTCAGTCCCAAAGTAGTTTTTATCAAAACTAAGTTTTTCAATGGAAATGGTAGCTATGTCAGGCAGAAATAGATTAAAAAGATTTTTACAGTGAAAATACATATTGGAATTGGAAATAATGTGGCAACACTGCGTCGTTTTCGTATTGGTGCAATGCGTGCTGTTCCACTCATACGTAAAGCCCTACAGTATAAGTATGGACGACTGTCACCACAAAACTGAAAAAAGCTGTTCCAATCGAGCAAAGCGGTGCATTTTGACGGTTCGATTGGAACAACTTTTGACACACGTCCACACTTTTACTGTAGGGCTTTACTCATACGTCGTTTTTTTATGAGAAATTAAAGACGTAGTCCTACGTCAAAAGCTACAAAACACAGCACAGATTAAAATTCTCGCTTTGCAGAATTTAGTAGCTTAAGCTTTTCGATGAATACTCGATCAACATTTCAAATGGTCCTATCTGCTTTGATCGATTCTCTTCATCGACTTTCTCTTTTCATAACCACTGCTATGCAAACAGATTTCGCGCTAATTCTACCACATAGTTTGATAAAGGATGTTCTTATCTAGCGTCCAAAACGTCAAATACAACAGAGAAAGGTTTGCAGCTGAGTTATTAACGAAAGAGAAAGTCGATTAAGAGAATCGATCAAAGCAGATAGAACCATTTGAAATGTTCATCGAGAATTATAATTAATTTTTATCGCTCTTTGTTTACCGATTATTCATTATCCTCTCTCATGTGTAATGCAAAAATATCTCTCACCAAAAACCAAATTTTTTTTTGTCCATCTCCCATTTGGCTCTGAAACTTTGCAATTGGTGCTGATGGCGTTATTGTAGCTCTTTACGCCAATGGGAAATCCCATAAATAACTGTAATTTTGAGCGTGAAAATGGCAGGCTATTCCTTACTCTTCCGTTCCACTGAAAAGTCAAATAACACTCTCTGTGTGAGCAGCCAATAATGCCGTCTACGCTAATACGTTTATGCGATTTAATACGAAGAGGAAAAAATAAATGCCAAGCTAACTTGATATATGTTAACCACCGACAAACCGAGATGACACTTACTTCTGACTTATGCCCGAAAATCGTTAACGGTCGTTCTAAATGTGCAGTGATCCTAACTGTCAAAACCATAGGATTTTTTTTTTATCTAGATAAAAATATTTTTTCCAGAATAGATCAGACACGAACCAATTCATAACATGCGGGTTCATGGCTTAGCTAAATATTTCCCGTTAGCCCGGAGTCAG